AAGCTTCTGGGACATTCTAGAGCCGGTGTCCTTGGCACCCGTGTCCATCTCCTGCCCAGACATTGTCTCAGGAAGCTGCAGAAGCCAAGCCCAGGGCCACTTCCAGCCGTGAGCTGAAGACGGTATCATGCTGTCCCCAGACGTCACCGGCCTCCACACCCTCAGGATTTGGCCTGGATTTGCCCCCCAGATGGGCATTTACACAGCATGACACCCACGATGACGAAGGCGGTCACAGCAGAGAGGCACTGTGAGCGCTCCTTGCCTGGCAGGAACTGGACAAAGTCTTCACCTCAAGCTCACCACAAAACCCCTGCGTGAAGTCACCACATTCCGATCATGTCTGGAGGTTCCTGGAAGTGCCTAATGTTAACACTCAGGAGGTGAGGTCTGAACCCACAGCGCAGCTCTCAGACCCGGAGCCTCTCATCCAAGTCCCTGCCAGGAAGCTTCACAGGCTCAGGGACCCAAGCACAGCTCAGAAACGGTGTCTGAAGCCCACAGTCCTCCCACGGCCCTCTGAGCTTTGCAGGTGCTGTTCCCTCTGCCCACAATGCTTTTCTTCCCCTTCCTCCTGTCTCTCCCCCAGGCTTTGATGTCCTGCTCACCTGGAGATCTCAGCCCAACCCTCTTTGCTTCAGTGGGGGCTCCTGGTTACCTGCACCCACTCAAGGCCACCCACTCAAGGCCTCCTCAGAAAGAGATCCGTGCAGGGACGCGGAATCCGCTGGCACTCAGCCCTCTGTCCAGTGGCACCCACAGAGGCCCACTCAGGAGGCTGAGGCAGGAGGATCGTTGCAAGTTTGACACCAGCCTGGGCTACACAGTGCGCCCAAGGCCAACCTGAAACGCATAGTGAGACCCTGTCTCAAAAAGACAAAATAAATAACAGCCAAGATGCAGCTCAGTGAGAAGATCCTGGATTCAATCCCCAGTACCCAAAAAAGAAAGAAAAAAGGAGAGGAGAGGGGAAGGGAACAGAGGGGAGGGGAAAAGAAAAAGAGAAAAAGGAAGGAGGGGAATCTGAAAGTATCTGTCTAGGACTGGACCAAGCGTAGAGACACTGTTCTAAAAATCACACCTAATGGGACCGAGTCAGGGTACCTAAACCAAAGGCAACCAATCAGGACACAATATGCAGACCATGAGTGAAACTCTGTCCAATAGGAGTGTGCATAGTTGATGGTGGTAAAACCAGCCAATCAGATTCCGCTTCGGGAATTGTAACTAGGAGGGCAGCATCTGCGGGGCCACCCACAAGACTCTACAGCAATCGCCGGGAATTGTATATAAAATCACCGTGTTTTATAGTTTTCCAGGTGCTGTAGCTTTGATCAGGTTATCAAAGGAAACCATAACAAAGAAAGGTTCAAATATAGTATGTGAACGAGTAAATATGGTTGTATTTTTTAACTGGAAAATTTCATGCAAAAATCTAGATTTTCCGTATTCTCCTGAAATATAATAATGCTGTAATTTCTCACGATTATGATTGTTCAGAGCTGCTTTGCTGTGCTCCCTACAGATAGAGCGCGCATTCTCCAGCACCCTATCCCCACCTCCCCTGTGTTATCTTGCTTGCCTGCACAACATTCATGCCTGGACCGTATAAACAGTTGAGTTCGCAACTCACAGCTAGCAGAAAGTGCTAGTTCAGACTAAAATGTGAGTGGCAGCTATGTCTGCATTTTGGACCGGCTTCATGAACCTCTGTAGACCTGCACAGGTTTATCTGCATACTGTTTGTTCTTGCTTTGCTGGGGTTTATTGGCTGGTTGGGGAGGGGTTTTGTTCTGTTTCCTGTCGTGGCTTTTTATTATGCTTTGCCTCTCTGGGCATCTTGTCCCAGCTGCACCAGGACTCGCAGTGCCCTCTGGCTGACGCGAATTCCAGGAAGCTTTTGTCCCCGTCCCTGGGTGGGAGGGAACGCTCACCGCGAGCCGCTAGCACTCGGGTCGGGCTGAGAAAAACCCGCCACCGCTGCCCCACGCTGGGCTGGGCCCGTTTTCTACTGCCCCGTGGCACCTGCAAAGGGACAAGGTGACTTCACGGCCAGGGGCGACAGGGAGGGGAAACTAAGGCAGCTGCATCGCGTCCACAGCTCTCGCTAGGAACCAGGAGCAGTTTCTGCGGCTCCTGCGCAGCGAGGCAGGCAGCGCCCCTGCCGGTCGGGGCCGAGGTGCAGGCGCCCTGCTCGGCTGCAGCGGATCGCGCTGGAGTCCGTGTTTCCCGGGTGCCTCGGGTGAGGCGCCGGGTGACTGGCCGTAGAAAGTCGGTACAGGAGGTCGGGAAACAGCAGCTCGCATCACACGATTGTTCGGCTACTGTAAGTGTTGGGAGCCGCAGCCCCGAGCCCGGTCGCCTCACTTGGCGGACGTGAGGCCTGTAGTAAAGAGTAAAGCCTGAGGTAGATTACCCCTCCCATCGAGCACGTTAGTTTCCTGCTTACCGCATAAGCAACCCGCTCAACAATATAGTCTGCCTGGCAACTGATGATGTTAGCCAATCAGCTTGCCTTGCTCACTTTAACATGATTGGACATTGTATCCGTATATATACTGGTGCCACCCCTGGGGGGGAAGAAGAAGCCCGGAAGTAGAAGCCCAGAAGGAGCCGCGGGGAGCGGACCAAAGGAGGCTTCGGCTGGGAGCGATCCCAGGGCAGGCTGTACGGAGAAGGAAAATAAAAGAAAAGGTTGTCCACTGCCAGACTTTGTCGTGTGTCCTTCCTGCCGGCCGGGAGCGGACATCGACATGTAAGGAACACCTGACCTTTCCTGCCGAGCACTTATTCTCGCATTTTTCATAAACACTCCCATGCCTGGCATCGCAGACTCTGGCCCTCCTGCCTCCTGAGGGAGAGACCAAGTTCCAGTAAAGTCATTTGAAGCCAGGTGTGGTGGCCTGCAACGGTAATCCCAGAACTCAGGAGGCTGAAGCAGGAGGATCACTGTGAGTTAGAGGCCGGCCTGGGCTACACGGTGAGTTTAGGGCAGCCTGAACTACATAGTGAGACCACCTCAAAAAGCCAAACCAAAACAAAACAAAATGTTGTTTGAGCGCCTGGATCCAGCCATATCTGAAATCCTCCTCCTCCTAGTCTTTCCCAAGCCTTGAAACTATAAAGTCCTGTGGGGTTTGAGAGAGCGTTTTTGTTTTTGTTATTTTTTGCCCAGGAGGAGAGTTTATTAGGTACTCTCTTTTCAACCAAATCAAGTAATAATAAAAAATGATATACAAATGATGAATAGAAGTACATGCAAAAAATGTTTGTCTATTTGAGACAGGGTCTCACTGTGCAGCTCAGGCGGGAAGAGACTGCTGCCAGCTGCAAAACGCACACGGTGCCCGCCCCACCCCGTGTGAAGGTGGCAGCACCCGAGTGTCCCCTGTCCTGCCCCTTCCAAGGTTGTGGTGACCTTGGCCACTGTGCTCCTGCGCCCAGGAACCGGACCCCTCCCTGGGCTGAGAGCCCCTCGCCCCTTCCTCTGGCCAAACCCGAGGATCGGGGGTCAAGGGAGGCCCCCAGAGTGAGTTCCGTTTGGTTCAGCCCGTATGGGGGAGGGGGGTGTGAATTAAGGCTGCCGTGGCGGCTCCACCTCTAATCCCAGCCTCTGGGAGGCTGAGGCAGAACTGCAAATTCAAGACCAACCTGGGCGACTTAGTGAGACTCTGACTCCAAACTATATTTTAATTTTTAAAATAAATTGTCATTGCTTAACAATTGAGATCATAAAAATATTAGAGATCCCCAGTAACTTTTCTTTAAAAGCAGTCTAAGCGCAGAATGAGAGAGACAGCGCTGCCAAGCAGCAGCCTCCCAGAGTTTCCTGATGGCGGTTTCCACGCCTCCCTAGTTTCCTGTCTTCCGGGGCCCCCAGCCCTGAGTCTGACCTAAGGACAAACGGCTGAGTTTTCTCTTTTCCAGAAGTGGCTGTCATTGTCCCCATTTTCCTGGTGAGGAAACTGAGGCTCCGAGACATCTAGGCAGCTGCTCGTGGCCACACAGCAGCACGGATTTGGAACACAGTGTCTATAATAGCACCTCTAACACGGGTTTGCTGGTCTTCACCGGATCTTAAATTTTTAGCTTCGCTGAAGTCACCAGTGCCCACACTCAGCCGTCTGTGCCTCCTTCGTTCCCTCTTTCAGCATTTTGAACACTCCTGAAGGTTTGACTGAAACGGGAAATATTTCTTATTTTACCCATCCCTGGCTCCTAGCAACCAGAGGTGTCCTTGCCTGCCTGTCTCTTTCCCTTATTTAAGCTGCTTTACTTACATTTTATGCTGTGTAATTTGTCAGTTTCCTCTTGCCAGCTGCTGGCGGGATAAACTGCGCCTGCTGTGAGGTGCCCTGTGAGGGCAGCGCCGTCCTCCGGTCCTGCCGTGCCCAGCTCGGGCATGCCCGCCCACCCCACCTCCCACTGGGGTCTCTCCAGGCCTCGCTGTCCCCAAATGTCATGACAGTCACAGAAAGGAGAAGCATCGACCTGAGTCACTGATGGTTTTTAAATAGCATTATTTAATGAACATAATTTTCCACAAATTTTAAAAATTTGATTGCAAAAGTTACCCATAAAAAATACTCCTGTGTTGCTGTCAATTTTTTTTTTTTTTTTTTTTTTTTTTTGTCTTTTTGAGACAGGGTCTCTATGCAGTTCTGGCTGGCCTTGAGCTCAGTTTGTAGCCCAGGCTGGTCTCGAACTCGCAACAATCCTCCTGCCTCAGCCTCCCGAGTGCTGGGATTACAGGCGTGAGCCACCACGCCTGGCTTTATTTTTATTTTTTCCATGCTACTCTGCTTATATGTTTTTGAATAATCTTTGCCTCTCGATGAGGTGAAATGGTTCCATGAGGCGATACATCTGAGATCTGAAAATACGCAGCCAACATCATAAGACAAGGCCAAGGCAGCGAGTGTTTCACCTAAGAGAGCTCTGACATCGGGTACTGTATGATCTGGGCGCAGCTTGCTCGAAAGTGAACGAAATATAACAAATTTCAAACTAAAAGAATTTATTGGGTCATAGAGTTGAACAGTGCACAGGTTGACCTGACTTCAAGCGCAGTGCGACTCAAGGCACAAACGCTGTTATCAGGACCTGGTTTTTCTGTCTGGCATCCTGTCACCTCATGGGGTCAAAAGAGCTGCCAGCTCTTTTGAGGTTACATCCTGTCAGATTCAAGAGCAGTGGAGGAGAGCTGGTCTCTTTTTCTGGCAATTCCAGCATCCCTGGGGCTTGCTCTGATTGGCCAGCTTTAACCTGATTCCCATCTCTGAACCAATGGGCGTGGTTAATGGAATGAGAAGCACCAATCGGCTTAGACCTGGGACCCTCCTGGGGAAGACTGGGAACTGACCCTGGAGAGGGCCCAACAGATGATCCTGACCTTCTCTGCAGAAACCACCTGCTTGGCACCAAGAGGAGGAAGAATCAGCCTGCATCTGACGTGGAGATTCTTCAGAAAGTCCCGCTACAAAGCTAAGCACGGCTGCCCCAAACATTACAGGATCTCAGACATCAGGCACCCAGCGGGCTGAGGTCGGGTTCTGGGTTCAGATCCCAGCCCCGCCACTTGGCCCTGCGAGGCAGCTTGCACGGAGCCTCCGTTTAACACTAGCACCCACTACTCCACCTGTGGGGGGGCGGGGTGCAGAGCAGCACCCCTTGCTGGGCTGCAGTGCGGTCCGGTGAGGTAACCAGTGGGCAGCACAGTCCCCGGGAAGCCGCAGGCGATCAGGGCTGTCACAGTAAGTGTGATGCTCTCTAGGCAGTGCTGAGGTCAGCAGGGGCGGCCCTGGCTTTGCATGAGAAGTCTATGCTGTTGCTGGGGGGAGGAGAGGTGCTTCAGGCTCTTCTGATTTTTTCAAGCCTGAGGGCGGATTGTTATAGAAAATCTCCAGCTTGGGTTTTATTAATTCTCTGCAGTACATAATGATTACGTGCGTTGTGAGGAGCTCGTACACATGCATCGTACATCTTAGTACTTTTTACATCCTCTTTCCCTTCTTCATCTCTTGGCTCCCTTTCTAGTTTCAAAAGATCTAACTCCCTAAAAACATATAAATGTTAACAACAGATTATTTTGTGAGACACAGTCTCTCTAAACTGTCTGAACTCCAGCTTGCAACTGTCCTGCCTCAGCTTCCCCAGTGGCTGGTATTACATGCCAGAACCACCATCCTGGCTTTAAAATGTTTTAAATACACTAGACGCATCTTTCCCACTCAGAAAAGAAACCCAAATCATGGCAGATGCAAGTAATGTACCACGTCTGCTCTGAAAGACTCTCAGGGCCCTGGCCTTGGGTCAGCTGGGAACTCCGCTGGCCTGCTTGCCCCCTACCCCTTAACTCCTTGCTCCCCGGAACGTCTTTGCCCCTGTACCAGTGGACAATATGGCTTGTCAATCACCCCTTATGTCCAATAGCTCTGCAGGATGGGGTGGGGGGCGGGCAGATGAAGCAGGAGGGCCTTCAAAGGCAGAAATTGGCCAAGGGGAAACCAACAGTCCTCACTGTGGTCTGGCTTCAGCCTGAGTGTGTACAGCAGCTGCTCCCAGTGGTCTGCAGAGGGCACACCAGCATCTCCAGGGAGCTCCTTACACCCCCATCTCCACCTGGACCCCAAAACTCTGGGCCAGGCAGGACTCCCAGGACCTGTTTTAACAAGTCACCCAGTGTCATGGTTTATGTCACTGGCCCCCAGGCCTCATGCCTTTGCATTGTGCATTTGTGATTGGTTCATTGTCCAGCACTTAGATTGATGGTGTCAATGCTACATCTGCTTAGGGATGGAGCCAGCATACAATGTAATGGCAGGAAGGAGGTGTGTCTCTCTCTCTTGCTGGTTTCTGCCTTTCGGTTTGCAGCTGCCATAAACTGTAGCCCTGCCATGCCACCCTGCTTTGGAGCCAATTGGGTATAGACTAAAACTTCTAAAAACTATAAAAAATAAACCTTTCCTTTCCCAACTTTGGGCATCAGATATTTTGTTACAGCAATGAATAAAAAGTAATTAAGACAAAATTTGGTACCAGGAGTGGGGTCATTACCTTGACTATATCTGACCATGTTTTTCGAGAGACTCTAAAAATGGCTTGTGAGCAGAGTTTTAAAAGGTTCAGACATGTCACCTGGATGCATAGACTGGAGCAGCTTAGGCTGTTCTATAGAGGAGATTCTGGTCAGAGCTCAGGAGACCAGAAGGCTGATTTTTTTTTTTTTAAAAAAGCCTGATGCTAAAGACCAGGCTTGGGAGGTTTCTGCTAAAAAAAAAGAAAGGACTGCATTGGTCATTGGACTCCCCACGATGTGCATTATGGCTCGGCAGAAAGTTTGTCTGCATTTTGCTCATGCCCAGAGACTTTGCCTGAGGCTGAGACTAAGGGTAATGGGCTGATTAATCTGGCAAAAAAAATTTCAAAACAGTCAAATGTTGAGCTGTGGCATGGCTACTGTTGGGGGTTTTAGCCAGCTTTATGTTACAAATCAAAAACAAAGAGCCCAGCAGGACAATTTAAAATGCTGTGAGTAGGGGCTGGGGATTTAGCTCAGTGGCATAAGCACCTTTCTTGCAAGTGTGTGGTCGTGAGTTCGATCCCTGGTACCGATAAAAACGAAAAAGACAAAAAAAAAAAAAAAAAGGAGAAATAAAATGCTGTGAGTTTGGCCAAATATAAAAACCCAATAAAGCTGTAGATTGTAAAGATAGAGTTGAGACTTAGATTGCTGAAAAAAAATAGAGATAAAAAGATGGCCACAGGGCATCCCAAGAAGCAGCGTGTCTCCACCCTTTGCAGCCTCAAAACTGCAAAAGTAAAAAACCTTGCTCAAAAAAAAAAAAGCTGCAGAGCACCATGCTCCAAAATGGTGATGGAGGCCACATGAGGTTCCACAATGGCGACAACACAGAGAAGCTTTTCTTCACAATCAGGTTCAAAGAGCCCAAAAATCCAGGCAATCGACCCCTACAGCCCTCCCAAAAATAAAAAAGCCTGGCTACTGCTCCAGCTAGCAGCATCCACATGGTGCTGGTTTTAGATACCAAAAAATGCACAAATTCTCAGGGTAGGACGGCTTCCACCTCGATTGCAAAGGGCCTGGGAAGCCAAGCAGTGTGCCCCTGGAAGGCAATTTATAAAGATGTAAGGGTGAAGCCAAAGGTGCAGTGGAACAGAAGTTTTTAAAAGCCAAAAACATGGATCATCCAAGAACAGCTACAAAAAGTGAACAGAGAAGGTTTTTTAAAAAGCTGCCGGAGCTGATATCCCTAAAAGTGCCACGGAGGTGAAATCACCCAAGCCTGTTGGAGCTTGCAACCAGATTGCTTCAAAGGCTGAGCATAAAACTCTAAGACTTAATGTTCGCCCTGCTAGATGTTAGACTTGCTTTGTCTCCAATCCTTTATATTCCCCAGCTTGTAACTTTTAAAATGGTAATATTTATCTTGTGCCTTTGCATTTCAAAATGTTTAACCTTGTTTCACTCGTACAGGGGGTTACAGTTAAGAGTTTGCCATAGATCTTAGAGGAGACTTAAGACAGACTTTTCAACAATGTTAAAACTGTTAGGACTTTGGCAACTCTTGGAGATAAACTAAATAAACTAAGTGTCTTTTATATATAGGATGTACATGAGTCCAGGAGTCCAGGGGTGGAATGTCATGGTTTATGTCTATGGCCCTGGCCTCATACATTTGCATTGTGCATCTGTGATTGGTTCATTGTATAGTGCTTGGATTGATGGTGTCAGTGCTACACCCACAAAGGGGTGGAGCCAGGATGTGATGTAATGGCAGGAAGAAGGTGTCTCTCTCTCTCTCTCTTGCCAGTTTCCACCTTGCTGTTTGCAGCTGCCATAAACTGCAGGCCCACCATGCCACCCTGCCTTGGAGCCAACTGAGTATGGACTGACCTCCATAACTATAAAAAACCTCCAAAAACTATAAAAAATAGACCTTTCCTGTTGGGAGCCGCAGCAGCGCTAGATCACCATGCGCGGCGGTCATGCGGCCTGTAGGAAAGAGCGAAGCCTGAGCTAAATTACCCCTCCCATCGAGTGAGCCGAGATGGTGCCTGCCTCCTGCTTTCTGATTGTCCTGGCTACATAAACATCCCGCTCAGCGGAATAGTCTACCTAGCAACAACTGATGCTAGCCAATCAGCTTGCATCACCCGCTTTTGCTTGATTGGATGATGGGTCTGCATATAAGCGAGTGCCTCTCCTGCTCGAGACAGAAGCACGAAAGGAGCCGCGGGGAGCGGACCGGTAGAGGCTTCGGGGCAGACTGAAGCACGGAAGGAGCCGCGGAGAGCGGACCGGTAGAGGCTTCGGGGCAGACTGTACGGAGAGAAAATAAAGAAAAGCCTGACCACCGCCAGACCTTGTCGTGTGTCTTTCCTGCCGGCCGGGAGCAACACCGACACTTTCCTTCCCAACTTTGGGCATCAGGTATTTTGTCTCAGCGACAAATAAGAAGTAACTAAGACACCCAGAATCCGAAAAACAGGACTAAAGTTTGAGGTTAGACTCTTCTTCGATGTTTTGTGCTCAAATAATTTGTCTTTCTCCACCTTAAAATGTACTTCCAAAGACCCACTGCGTTACCCTGGCCAATCCCAGAAAGGGAAGCCTGGACACCCTCTTCGTCACATGAGAACATTCTTGTCCCCTCCCTTTGGAATGCTCTTATCAGTGAGAAGCAGATAGCCCAGTTAGCCCGAGTGCAAAACATCAGAGCAGACAGTTTACCAAAAAAGCAATATAAATGGCCCACAGACCCGGAAAGGTTTCCAACCTCACTCATCAGCAGAGAGATGCACTTTGAAAAACCATAAGGAACCACTACCTCGCCCCCCACACAGCCGAAATTAACAACACTGACAGGATCCAGCATTTGGGACTTTGGTGTGCTACTGAAGAGGATGAAAATTGGTACAATTTTGAGAGAAATGGTGATTCCTGATAAAGCTCAACACATACTTAGGATCAGTAACTGTACCCCTCAAGGTTCACACTTGCTATGGTGTATGTGGAAAATGTCCCTCAGTGACCTCGTGCACTTGTTGGTAGGGCTTTTTGGAGAGGACCGGGCCCCTGGGGTGCTCACTGTTAGGAGGCGGGGCCCAGCGGGGTCAGTGGGGTGACCTGGAAGGGTTTCTCTCCCTCCAGCTCCTCCCTTCCATCCCTCTTCCTGCCCTCCATGACACGAGCAGCCCTCCTCCGCCAAAGCCTTCAGCCATGCCTTGGAGCCAGCCAGCTCTGGACTAAACACATGAGCCAGAATAAGCTCTGGGTGTCAGGAACTGTGTCCCAGTGACAAACAGGTGACTAGGACACAGCTGTCTCCTTCAGTCGACCTGGATTCCACTCCTTTGCTTCTTTCCCAGCTTCCGATGAAGAAGGGAAGCTCCTCCTCCGTCCTTGATCTGGGCCCCCTGGCTGGGCCAAGGGCACAGGGCAGACGAACACCAGTTCCGGCCATGCGATCCCAGGCACGTCCACCTGTGCCCTTGGGTCTCTGATGGCACCAGGGGGCCGGTGCTCCCGGCTGGCAGTCTGGGCTACAGAGAGCATTGGGCAAGCGTGAGAGCTGGGCCGGCCCTCGGGCCATGCCAGAAAACATGAGCAAGATGGCAAGGCCGGCCCAGCGCCCAGGGGAAGCAGAACCAGCCACAGGGCGGGCTCTGCAGCACGCGCAGGGCCCTGGGTGCCATCCCTGCCCCGGCACATACAATGCTCCCAGCTGCTCCCAGCACCTTGTCCCACTGTCTTGACGCTTTCTGAAGCAGTGCTGAAGTCTTCTTGTGTGTCTTCACAAATGTGATCTAAAAACAACAGCACAGTGAACGCTGCTGCCGTGCGCCATCCAGTGTGAAGACGGCCCGGTGAGAGGTGACCCGTGTCCTCGGCCACCTCCTTTCGAGGATCCGGCACCGTGCGACTCCTGACTCTTCCCCAAGTCAGAATGACTGCGGTAAACGTTTTGAATCATTATAGAACATCAAGGCAGCCCCAACAGCACAAGTAAAGACCCTCATGAAAGAAGATTCCAGACTTGCTTCAGAAAGCGGCAGGAGCCACAAATAAACAATCTGCCAGCCCCTCCCTGCACCAATCCATAAACTTATAACTAAGGAAATCCTCCTCCATGCATGGTGGTGCATTTTTGCGGTTGCGTATGAAGCAGGAACAGGCAATTCAGAAGATGGAGGTCTCCGAGCTAAGCACATCGCCTCCAGGAAGCAGGAGATATTACAAAACATCGGGCCCATCACTTGACTCGGAGGGTTCTGATCGAACACTGCCCCTTCAATAAAACGGTTATGTGGGTTCTGTCTTTAAGCAATGAAATGAGATAGAGGCTCAGGGTTCACCCACGATCTTTATTTTCTTAGCTTAGTGTCAGGTCACTGACTTTGGTGTCAGAACCCTGAGCCCAAGCGGCTAGGCCCTCGGTGGGTCAGCCCCGTCCCACAGTGGAAATAAGGATGCCTCGCTGACCTCAGAAAGTCACCGGCTCTTTCAAAGGAGCACTGCTATTATTTGCAAGTGTCCATCAGTTTGTGGTCACGCTCATGAACTGAAGCAGCTCTGTCTACAAGGTCAGAGGTCTACTAGGACACTTTGCATGTGGCCCAAGGCCACTAACAAAGTCCTTCATTCCAGAGATGGGCTGCCATTACTATGGAGAGGCACTGTCATAGATGCTGGGGTACAGACAGCAGTGGGACCCACAAGACCTCTTCCTCATGGCAGGCATGGTCGAGTGAGAAAATCACACTGTGTGAGCCGGGCACAGGCAGAGTAGTGCATGCCTATAATCCCAGCACCTGGGAGGCTGAGGCAGGAGGATTGTTGCAAGTTCGAGGCCAGCCTTAGCTACAAAGTGAGCTCAAGGCCAGCCTGAACTGCATAGCGAGACCGTGTCTCAAAAAGACAAAAACAAAACAAAAATAAATATTTGCTTAAGAAGAAAAGAAAAGAAAATCACACTTCAAGGTGAGCCATACCCAGGGGGGAGTGATTCACTCTGAAACTCCAAAATTCAAAATATTCCACAGCCTGAAATTTTTTGAGCGCCAGCATGATACCATTAGTGGGGAATTCTGCATCTAACCTCATGAGTGAAACACTGCTTCGTGCACAAAATTATTTACAGTGATTAAAAATCACCTTCCAAGCTGAGGCTGTGTAGCTCAGGGTTAAAGCACCTGCCTAGCACATGTGAGGTCCCAGGTTCCAGCCCCAGCACCACAAAAGGAACCTCAGGAATGAAACAAGTGCACTGTATGTTTAAACTTGAGTTGTATCCCCAAGGTACCCCATTATTTAGCTGAAAATATTCCAAAATCTGAAAAACATCTGAATCCCAAACACTTCTGCTCGTATACATTTGAGACAAGGGATATTCAGCCTGTACGTGAAATATCTGGTTTAGTCTAGGTGCTTTTAATGGCCTGCAATAACTTAATGGAACTTGCCATGTGGTGTGGTGGCACACACCTGCAATCCCAGCACTCAGGAGGCTGAGGCAGGAGGATCACCGCAGGTTCCAAGCCAGCCTGGGCTACACAATCAGGTCAAATCCAACCTGAACTACAAAGTGGGAGTTTTAGAGTTTTCCAGGGAAATGGTCAAAGGCATTCTCAGGTTCTGTGGTCCATGCAAGCCACGGCCAACCTGACAGCTGTCTGTCCCACAGGGCCTGTGTCCACCCTGACCCCTTCCATGACCACACCCCAAACACTGGCACGTGGCAGTTCCTCATTTCTTACCATTCCAAGCAGGCTGCCGTGGCTACCTGGACACAAAATTTTTCTCCCCACAAGGTTCTCTTTGCTTTTCCTGAAAAGTGCAGAAAGTGGGTGAAATCCACGGTTTAAGGCTCCCAGATTGCTACTGACCACATTCCCAGCGCAGCTCGAAGGGCTGTTAAAAATCCCCCACGGGCTACGACAGAAGGATCATTCTGGCTCTAATTCACCATCGCTGTTCCTGTTTCTCGCCGTAAAAACAGTCACCTATCCTGGATAAAACAAGAAGAACATGAAACATACTTATTACGATAATGAAAAACTATCTATTTTCTGGCAAGGTATTTCCTGCTCTTTGCCCTTGGAATCTCCTCAAACCCTGTCCCATCACTCACCATCACCAGGGTGTCAGTTTCAGGGTAAACAGGCAGGAGGGAGGTGGGGTGAGGGGGGTGGGGCGCCCGCGATGTTGCCATAGCAACAGAGGATTTCGGTGATGAGTATCCATGGTGATTGGAGCTGCGGCCTGAGTGGTTTTAAATGCTTTATTTAAAATACTAACCCCTGTGCAGCTGTCGGGGATGTGATGGGGGAAGAGGGGAATGATCGGCTGCGTCGTGAACACATCCTCCGCGAGGAAGCAAGGTGGTTTAAGGACGGGTGCCACCCCTCCAGCACAGGCCCTTCACACCTGCGGCCCATCTGTACCCCCTGAGCCCGGCCCAGGGTCCCTAGGGGCAGCATCGCTGGAGGCTGCAAAGCAGGGCTGCTTGTCTTCCTGCATCCCTAAAGTCGCATGGAAAATGAACTGGAGAAACGGGATGAGAATCCAAATCTTCTCTTCCTAATCCAGAGTTTTGTCTCCTTTTGTATTAGAATGAAGTCTGGCTGAAATAGTAGAGACCCAACACAATAGGGGCTTTCACAAGATGGCAGTTTATTCTAATTTTACAAAGAGAAAAAAAATAACACTGAGGCTCAAGGAACCAGGTTGCTTCTGTCTTTTTAGGCACTGTGAAGGTATCCCATTTGCATGGTTACCTCATCATCAGGGAGGCTGCCTGGTTCCAGCCATCAATTCTATTCTGTTTCAATCCAAATTCTAGATCTCACTGCCAGATTCCCCAGAAGCCAGGCTCCGAGTGGCCTGAGCTGTCTTACCTGGTCCACAGTCACCCCGAGGGAAGGGCGTGTCCTTTCTCTCCCTTCCAATCTTTCTGATTATATGACACAGAAAATCTCAGCGGGGTGCTATCCAGGCTCTGATCCCCTCTCTCACATCTGCCCTGAACCCAGGGCCTTCACATAGAGCGATATCCTTAGCCCTTTGTACTCTTTATTTTGAGACAGGGTCTCACTAAGTTGCTAAATTGCCCTGGCTGGCTCAATTTGTGATTCTCTCCTGCCTCAGCCTCCCAGAATCCTGGGCTTATAGGCCTGCACCACCATGCCTAGTTTAGTGGCTCCTTTAAGCATCCCTAGGTCTCCCTGAGGGCTGAGCCAGTGTGCAGGGCACAGGTGAATGCTGGTGTCCACGTTGAGGTCTCGCCCATCAGTCTGGCTAGTGGGCCATGCTTTCCTCTAACATAAACACTGAAAACATTAACTGACCTAAAGAAAAAGCATGAAGCAGACAGGGGTGCACAGGATGCCCAGAGATGCTTAAAGCATAAGTGAAATACAGCACACAGGTGTGGCACGAGACACAGCCGTGGAGGCGGAAGAGGCCTGGGCTCTAACCCGAGCTCTGCCATTGCTGTGCTGTGTGGCTTTAGACGAGGTCCTTTACCTCTCTGGGCATCTATTCCCATTGTATCTATAAAGTGAAGAAAATGGGTTTCGGTCGTTTCTGGGGTCCCTGCTCTGAAGGCTGGAACACGGGGGTTCTACAGAGAAGCCCAGCTCTCACTCCAGGACGCCAAGCTCTCCTGCTCTAGCGATGAAGCGCTTTGGTGAGCGTTTGGGAGGATGGAGAGCAGCTTAGCTGAGCGGGGAGATTAATCTGTATTCAGAGCATCACACATAAATAAAGATGTTTAAAGCCAGCGGAGAGCCCTCTCCCAAACATGTGAAATTAGACTTGATTATTTTTAAAACAATACTTCCCTTAATGTGCAAATGAGCAGCACGGAATGCCAAGCAGGGTCTTATTTGGGGCGCTAAGCACCGCAGCTTTCTCAGTTGAAGGCGTTTATTCTCCCCCCCCCCATTTATTAATAACTCTGTCTTCTCCCAGCCTCTCAATTATCCCTGAATGTAAAGCCTGGGTGCGGAGCAGCTGCTGGCTTCTGTTCTATGTAAGTCACTTGTCTTATTATAACCCAAAACAAGGATGCGTCTCCCTGTTTGCTCAAGAAATAGTACAAGACTCTACTTTGGAGCTCCAGGGTTCCAGCTAGGGGTGGGGGGACAAGACCCACTGTCCCTCAAATACAAGTCCCATGTCCTGAAATGCATGTTAAAATCACAGTGGAGCCCAGCATGGTGGTGGCACATACCAGTAATCCCAGCGCTCAGGAGGCTGAGGCAGGACGATTGTCATGAGTTTGAGGCCAGCCTGGGCTACACAGAGAGAAGAGGGGGGAATCAGGGTGGGAGAAGATGTGTTAACAAGTTGATTAAAGAAGGGCTAAGTGACTTCTGACTCAAAGACTTGCAAGAAAACAGCCACTGTAGCCATTCAAGATGAGTACTATAAGCAGAGTGAACTACAATGCAAAGGTCCTGGGGTAGGAACATGCCCAGTCTGATTAAGGAAGAGGAAGGAAGCCCGATGCCTGGAGTATAGCAAGGGGATGGATGGCAGGAGATGAGGACACAGAAGAACACATCAGGCCTGAAAGCCAGAGTGAGGATCTTGGCTTTTATGGTGGATCAGATCAGATGAGAGCTGCAGGAGACAGACTTAGTAACCCTCAGCATGCTGGGCTGAGAGGATGGGGGGATGGTAAACAGGAATACCCGAGAGAGATTAGTGCAGTGCTCCAAACTGGTGATGGTGGCCAGGCCAGGGGTGGGATGGAAAGGTCTATCCTGGATGAGAGCAAGTGTGCTGAATCCAGGTGGAGCCGAGTTCAAATCCCAGCTCATCCACATTCTTGTGCCTGTCAGATGCCTGCTGTGAGTCTCAGTTTCACCAACCGTAAAATGGGATCATTCCCATTTGGCCATAGAGCAAACTCAAGCAACTGTTATCCTTGGACCCAGCCAGCAGCCACCTCCCCCGGCCACCCCACAGGCCCTCACTGAAGCCACCAAGTCATGGAGCCAGAGAGCTGAACTCTGAGAAACAGGGACCCACAGCCTCAATCTTCCTTCCGACCCATTGCTCCCACCCTGCCAGTGTACCCAGTGAAGGCAAGATACTCAGCCCTGCTTCCCAGCAGCCTCGCAGCTGGGCACACTGCCAGCTTTCCCCACACTGACACATGGCCACTGCAGCGGCCCCAGCACAAGGGGAGGTCACAGGCAGAGCAGGGACATGGCCGCTGGGCTCTCTCTCTGCTGCCTTCTGAGGCCCTAGGAGAAACACGAGTCAGTTTCCAGAAATGCTCACCTCCTGCTGAAAGGACTCGGGACTGTCCTTGGGGCCACTTCTTTAAAAGACTGCAAAGCCCAACCCGGAAGAGGAAAGACAGAAAACCTTAACACTGTGTGGAAGAGCCGGGGGTGCTGGACCTCAGCCCTCAGGAGGCTGAGACAGGAGGATTGCAAGCTCAAGCCCAGCATGTGCAATTTAGGACCTTAGTGAATCCCTGTCTCCAAATTATAAAAAGGCCTGAGGATGTAGCTCAGCATGAAGGCAGTGGGTTCACGCTCAGGACCAAAAAAGCCCACACAGCCAAACAGCTGTGCATTCCAGCTCTGATCTGCCTTCAAATGGATCAAACAAAACTGTTGGAGCTGAGCACACGTGCAGGGCTGTGGCGTGGCCCAGGCATGGCTAGACTGAGAACGAGGAGACGCCTTAGAGTGCACGATGGGCCACAGCTGAGGCCTCCTGGAGACGCTCTCCTGGGACAGTTCTCCTCAATTAGCATCGGCTGTTCCTGGGAGGGTCCCTGAACCCCTCCCGAGGTCCTGCTCAGCCACCAGAGTTAAGAGGGTTCTGGTCCTCCTGGAGCCCTAAACATCACACCACTTGTCTCATTCATTTGGGCCTTCGTTTGGGAGACTGGGGACTTAGGCACAGGCCCCAATACAAAGCAAGGTAGTGTTTTGTACAATCATTCTCTATGTTCTGTAACCATTTCTAGCTCTCCCTGGAAATGGCCTTGCAGAGTGAATGAATCATAAGCTGCCAGAGGACCGACGAGACTGACATCGTTCCAAGGGCGCCTCCCTCACCACGGACTCATCGTTCAAACTGTGACCCCTCTGGCACGGGAACTGGCCTCGCCCTGGGGACAGACCCGCCCTGGGAGGACACTTGGGGACGGACACCCGGGACAGGCACACCTCCCTGCTGGCTCGGCTTCCTGAACGCAGTGCTGCAGCTGCCCTCCTGTGCCAGCCTCTCCCGCGGGCTCCTCTCCTGCCTGGAGCCTGCCAAGGTACAGAAACCACGAGCCAAAAGAAACCTCTCCTCTGGGAGGTGATGGGTGGCAGGTATTGTGTGGCTGAGACACCAAGACAGTGAAGTTAGAAGGGTTTGCTTTAACTGATGCTCTGCAAAGACGGAACAGCAAGTTGGCCAACTAGACCGTGACAGAAGCAGGAGAGGAAGGAACACTTTCTTCGGTCTGGCAACACCCTGGCTGCAGGTTTAATATGCAGATAAACTGTGTCGGTCACAAGAGGTGCCCCAACCTGAGACGTCCTGAGGGGTCAGACCGTTTGCCTTCACTCAGGATTAAGTGTGGCTTCTTGGAGGCAGAGCTTGTACTCATGGTGATTTACTTTCACTGAGGCTCAGAGAGGGCAAGTGGCTTGCCCAGGGTCACACAGCGTGTTTGTCAATGCAGAGCCGTGGCTGGAACTCAGACTTCCGGCTTCCTCACAGTGTGTTTGTGCCATTCTCTCCTCATCTGTGAAACTGTCTCCCATTGCTGCCTCCCTCTGGGGACAAGCCCGAGTCCTCACGTCCCTGGAAGTAAGCACAGTCTGGGATGTGATCTCTGGCTGTGTTTCATCTTTTCCAGGTGTTAATGGTGCTTCCCATCATGCAATGCTCCGAATGCTGGCCTCTCTTCCTGCTCTTTGTGGTCTCAGAGAGATTAGAAGCGAAAGTGGCCACGTCATCTTCTTCCGGATGCGAATGTCCATCCTGACCACCTCTGCTGAGGGTTGCTTGACTGGACCCGAGGTGACCACTTCCCCTCCTGCGCGTGGTCCCACATCCCCAGTGAGACAGTGAGTGATGACAAGAGGTGCTCAGGAAGTGACAACTGTCACTGTCCCCTTCAACTGATATTCACATTGTTCTCATTACTGGGCATGGAGAG